CTTGTCTCCTCCTGCACCGTGAAAGCCAAATATTAATATCTTTGAGGAAGAGGAAATGATAGCTAAGTATAGCATCCATGAAAATGTACTAAAGATAGTGTTTGGGTGAAGTACATCATAAAGCGTTGATATTGAGATTTGATATATTCCCACTTGAGAAGAGAACAGAGGCAGTAAGAGAGAAACTTTTGCACATAGAGGCTCCGCTGGTCCTTTTAGGTCACCACATGTCAGAACATGTCTCTGTCACTGGTGCATCTCCTGAGTCATGGGCTAATGCTGCAGTAGAAAGAGAGGCTGACCTCTGGGCACTCTCAACTTTCTCCCCAAGATGTTCCCATCAACATACCTCCTCCAGCTATTCTCTCATTCCCAGCATTTCACCCACTATTCTGTTTCCTTTGAGTGTACAATTGTTGTTCTCTCCTACAGAGCAGATGGGCAACTGAAGCCTGCGGATAGTGACTTCCCTGGGGCAAGGCTTGAATCAGTCTTTCACTAATCTAAGTCACCCAAATATCCATGGGGGGAGGGGGGAGGAGAAGGGGTAGTTGGAAGACAAGAGTAGGGCACACACTACAGCAGGGGTCAGCAAACTTTTTCAGCAGTGGGTCAGTCCCCTGTCCCTCGGATCTTGTGGGGGGCCGGACTATATTTTGAAAACACACACACACCAAAAAAAAATCCTATGCCCCACAAATAACCCAGAGAAGCATTTTAAATAAAAGGACACATTCTACTCATGTAAAAACACACTGATTCCCAGACAGTCCGCAGGCCAGATTTAGAAGGCAATTGGGCCGGATCCGGTCCCAGGACCTTAGTTTGCCTACCCAAGCACTACAGCAGTCGCATGAAAGGCACTTTAAATGGTTGAATGCTACATCTGGTGAAATATTAATCTGCTGACATATTCATGTACAATAGCTTCCTACATAGATTGGGCAATTTCTCTACACATCATGGTGGACTTCAGTTTTTGCAGAAATTCACCCAAGTTTTACATTGAGGTGCTTCAGGGTGTAATACAATGATACAATGTGCTGAAACCCACACATTGTAGCTGCAGTTCATACGCCAGACTTCTGGTTGACTGTAAGTTAAAAAAGCAAGGTTTAAAAATGGGGGGGGGGGGCAAAATAGCAGGGGGAGGATTGGAGTGGGGGAAGGTAGTGCAGGGTGTGGTCTTAACACTTACAAGGGCGTTTAATTACACATAACCCAAAGGAAAATTAGTTTCGAAGTTTTTTTTATAAGAGCATTCTTTTTTTTGTAGTGGCTGCTTTATCTCAGAATGTCATCTCCCCTACTAACTGAAAACTATTTTTTGAAAGAGGCACATTTGTTTAATTCCTGTAAGTAATCAATAGTAGTTTTACTCATCAAGGAGACCCATTGAAATCAATGGACTTACTTGATTTCAGTGGGTCTACTCTAATGTTTAATGTAAGGCAGTAATATGCATCACCCTAAGGCACGCTTTCAAAGTTTTACCCATTTTGTAGTGGCTTCCAAGCAAATTGCATTTTATTAACTCATTTGGCATTTCTTGAGTTAACTGAAAACAGTTTTAAGTTACCTATTCTTCTCTGTCTTCTTCCAGGAATGCAATTTACAGTTATGTATATAAGGAAACCTGTTAGACTTAAATCAGCCCGGCTGGTGTTTAAGCTGCCTAGAGAGACAAGTAAGCAGGCAGCCCACACCCTGCAAAGTGGGAGTGATTGGTAGGCTGGACAGAGCACAGCTTCCTGAATCAAACTGACTACAAAACCGTTCAGCTGGTCCTAAAAGAAACAACACAGACCAGGAACACACACACACACAAGAACCCCTATCAAGTTTTTACAACAGAACTTCTGGAAAATAGAATCAACTGACACAAAAGAATAATGGAGGAAGAGGTAAGATATTTGAGCTTTGTGTAGTATCTTTGTTTTCAAAGCAGAGGAGGTAAATATCAGATTGTCTAGTTCTTTGCAGCTGTGATTTTTTATTTTTTTAAAAAGAAAAAATCTCCTAAAATGGCTTGTGTGTGTGTTATAAATATCTCCAGACAGTTTATAGTGGTTGTGCTCAGCACCAGCTGTGTGGGCAATCAGTTGTTCTGGCTTATCCGACACCCCATGCGCTTCTAATTATGCTGCACTTTCTTTTCCAAAGAGACAACAAACTTTCTTATCTTAGATGTGGAATCTGAAGGGAGGGGGGAGGGGAGGAGGAGAAGATGTGAAATTGCCGGACAAAAACAATGATTTGCACATTGCATCTTTCGGTTTGGAAGTCCAAGGGAATTTTCCTTAAATCTGGAGAAAAGTAAAAATCCCAGTCTTGGAGAACACGCATTGGTGTCCTTTTTCTGCTGCACAGCATTTCCTAGTACTTGCATGCAGAAAAAACAAGTAGCAACTATTTCATCACAGTAGACTGACTGATGTGTCTGGAGAGTTGTGAGTGAAAGGGATTCTTAAACTGTTTTCTTTTGAAACAGCCGTATTCTAGAGCACCAAGTGGCATACAAAAAAACTATTCCAAAACAGGTGCAGGGCTTTTAATAGTGTGATACAGTTTTTCTTTCTAAGAATTAATTATAAGCCTTGGAGAACCACATTACCTGTATTGTAGGCTTTGATTTCATGAAGTGCTGAGAAAAGAAAATACAGTGTTAATATTCCTGAAAAGTAGTATCTGTTAAGCAGTTGGTAGTATTAGTGTTGTCACAATGTTCCCTTTCTTACCACTAAGTATTTTTCTATCTATGAATGCCTATATAATAACTAGGCAATAGAACTGGGAGCTTCATGATATCTGTGGAGTTTAAAATAAAAATTCAGAATAAAGGACAGAAGCAACTTAAATGTATTTATTAATCTAAGTCACACTCATAAATATCTATCTATCTATCTAGCATTAATAAACTGCTGCAATTCAGAATGAATTAATTAATGTATTTTCTTTTAAGAGTTTCTGCAGAGGAGCGGTGTGACTTAGCTATCTTCAGGAAATGAAATGAAATTTCATTTCTGGCTATCATTTATGTCAATGTCCCCCCCCCCCATTGATGTGCATTCATAGGCATTGCACAAATAAAATAAATGAAACTTTTGTCTAGGGCAGTATATGAAAGTAATATTGGGATTACACGCAAAGCTGATGGATTGCTGACCACCAAATATAATAACTATGCTCAGTAATGTGTTTCTGATTTCAACCTCTTTATGTTTGTACAATGCCATTTATTACAATGGAATTTGTCTGCAGTAAAAAATCTGGAACCTGAGAACTAGAAGTTTCCTAACTGTAAATGTACTTCATGCATTTCTGGGTCGGTTTTTATTGTGCTCCAAAATGATTAATGTAAAATGTTTTATTTATGTAAGACATTTTTATACAATCCTTCATCAATGATTCCATGGCAGTGCACAACAGTGCAAGTACCTTTCCAATGAAATTGACACCAAATACAATAAAATAATCCAAACCCATATTAAACAATCCAATTTGTATTAGTGGCTAAAGAGAAATGTTGATAAATCATGCTTTGTTACACTAACTGGAAGCCAGCGTGGACATATTCACCTGGAATGGAGGATCTTCAACATCTTACGGATCTTGGTTTCACAGGCTTCACAGGAAACATGAGCATGACCTCACAACATGCCATAATCACTCGTGGTTGTATCCAATGATGTCTTTGCGTTAGTGGAAAGCAGTTCTATTTGTGGAAGGTGATACCCTACTGAGGGTTGGGGAGCCTCTAGAACAGGGGTAGGCAACCTAAGGCCCAGGGGCCAGATACGGCCCAATCGCCTTTTAAATTCGGCCTGTGGACGGTCCAGGAATCAGTATGTAGAATCATGAGTAGAATCATGAGTAGAATCATCCAGGAACCATGAGCAGAATGTGTGCTTTTATTTAAAATGCATCTCTAGGTTATTTGTGGGACATAGGAATTTGTTTCCCCCCCCCAAAAAAAATATAGTCCGGCTCCCCGCGGCTGAAAAAGGTTGCTGACTCCTGCTCTAGAACATGGCACAGAAGGCTACAGTAGCTAGGGTGGAGTGGTAAAAATTAGGTGTGCTGCGCAGACAGTGTTAGGTATACCCCTTTGTCTCAGTACAACAATGGTAGAAAACCTGTTGTTCTCTAGATGTATTGGACTACAACTCCAAGCGTCCCTGTCCACAGGATTGTGTGTAGTTGCAATGGAGTCTGCTGGTGGCTTTGGACTGGTAAACAAGCTGAAGTGTAATTCAGATATGACAAGCATTGCATATATTTAACAGAATTTGTATACTTCTTAATTGTAAAAACCTCTGATCAAATGTTGATTGAGGGTTGTGATGATTCTGAATGAGGTATTCAGCCTTTTTCTGCACTCCTCCTGAAGAAACAAGGATGGAAATGGGGCTTTCTTAACTTCCAAGACCTGGATGCTCAGTTATAATGGCAGTGGCCGCAAGCTGATTTATTTTTTTTAACGAATCATCTTATACTCAAAATGTATCCTGTCCTGAAAGAAAACCCAGACTTTTAGTTTGATGCAATGGGCCTTGTCTGGAGCTGCCTCTGAAAATTGTCTGGAAGCTTCAGCTGAATTAGCACACTGCTGGGATGGTAATGATGGAAGCTGCCTGTTCAGGCCATATAACACCAGTGCTTTCTCAGCTTCACCAATTTCTAGTTTCTTTCTAGGCTCAGGTCAGTGTGCTTGCTCTCACACTTTTAAATCCTGAAACAGTTCAGGACCAGAGTATCATAGGAACTGCATTCCTCCATAGGTACCTGTGTGCGACTTCAGTTACCCTACAAGGACACTCCTTTGGGTACCACTAGGTCTTATGGAATGCAAGTAAGTAGCCAGGAAAGAGCCTCTTCTGTTGTGGCATCCATGAACCTTGCATAGCTTCTGTAGAAATATTTCTTGGCTCTTCTTGCTGTCTGATTTTAGGCAGGCAGAAAAAAATCATTTTATTTAGACAGACGTTTTCAGGACTCTCATTGTGTATCTGTTGCTATTCATTTTAACAACCTTTGTCAAAACCAGTTGCTTTATTGTTATAGTTTATTTTTAAGATGTGCTTTATTCCGTGCGGTATCCTTTAAAATTTATTTCTTGTATATATTTTAATGAAGGTGAGATATTAATGAAATTATAGTAGGAATAATGTTTTGCCATTTATGTACAGAGCCATATCTAGAAGTTCCTTTGGTCATTCTGGTGCAATGTCTGACAAATGTTTAGCCACTAGGTGTCTTAAGTGTGCTAGAAATTAAGATGATTGAAAAAACAGTAATTATTTCCGTGGGTGTTTTTATTATTATTATTCTTTTGAACTATAGTAATCTTCTCCAGTTTCTACATCTATATAGGACAGAAACTTTGCACTCTTTTGTGAGTTGATCAAAATGGCAAGATCCGATACACTTTCTCCTTTCTCATTTTTTGCGAAAGATGCGAAAGATGGAGTTTTCCTACCTCTGGAGTTTGGGCATCTCCCTTCATGGAATGTGTGCCTTCCTCTCTTGCAGCTTACACTGTACTGGTGAAACAATGAAGTGTGAATTACTTGTTGCTTCCTCTTTTGCAAGTTCCTGTCATGTCCCTTTAACTGTTAGCTGCAGTTCTCTGGGTTTAAGACTATAGAGTCATAAGAAAACACCTATATCTGACCAGGGGTATGAGAATGGCTGCTTACCTGGTCCAGAGGTGGGCAGAGGTTGTGGCCCAGTGCAGCAGCCCCTCACATCCCCAGGGGGAGAAAATGACTTTGCCATGGCAGCCGGCATTTGGGGCACCTCCCGGACGGGTTGCCCTCCTGAAGTTTGAATGTGCCCTATCAGCGGCAAGCTGATGGGCGGAGCCTGGGTGGTGAAGTCATAGATGATTTTTTTAAAAAAATTGTATAGTGCTTATAAGCCAAAATATGTGCATCTAAGGCATGCAATATCCATACCATATTGATAAATGAAGATGATAATTGTGATTTTAATGAGAAATAATGTGGGCCCATACAGAGAGCCAAAATTTATGTTGTGCTTTAGCGAGACCAGATACTGTAATGTACCTTAATACCTGCATTTTCCTGACCACTTTGCCTAAAGCAGTAGCTGTAGAAAAAAACCAATATAACAGCCAGCTCTGTCTCAGAAGGAATTAAGGTCACAAGATTATTATTATTATATTCATTCTGAGGAAGGCAACTAGCCATAATACAGAGTATTATGGGAATGCAGTTTCTTAAACTGTGCTAACCCTATAGCTTTCCTCCATAAGCCTTGGGTAATATATATTTTTAAATAAGATTCATCTAAGTACTAAAACATTAATATTTTTGAATAGTTCTGATAGAAAGGCAGCTTTCAACTTGCAATATAATCTGTGGAGCAGAATTAAAATCTAGTTTTATAAATTGATTTCTGATCACCAGGCATTTGGTTCTCTGATTTCCGACTTAATCTTTGTGAAATATGAAATGCAGCGCTATTGTTGAAAGCTACCCTAGCAAAAAGAAAATGAAGCATTCTGGTGCCATGTCCCAACAGACCTCCTGAGTTCATGTAGGCACTTGAGGCACCGTCTTTATAGTTGTCTAAACATGAGGCAAGGCTGAAGGGAGAGAAAATCTCTTTGATATGACAGACTGAGCTTTAACATATGACTGGTTGGGATTTTTGTTTATGTGCCAGGCTGTGAACCTCTATTCTTTGTAGCTATTGCTCTTTATGGGAAAGCTGCAGTGCTGCAGTTAGTTAATTTTATACTCTGAACAGAATGAGTATTGCAGGGGGCACTTTTTAGATGGAAATACAGTCGTACCTTGGATCCCGAACGCCCTGGAACTCGGATGTTTTGGCTCCCGAATGCCACAAACCCAGAAGTTATTGTTCTTTTGGAACCCGTACGTCCAATGGGTCTTCTGCGGCTTCTGATTGGCAGCAGAAGCTTCCTGCAGCCAATCAGAAGCCACAATTTGGTTTTTCGAATGTTTTGGAAGCTGAACAGACTTCCAGAACGGATTCTGTTTGACTTCCAAGGTACGACTGTACTTAAAATCATAGAATCTTAGAGTTGGAAAGGACACCAAGGGTCATCTAGTCCAACCCCCTGCAATGCAGGGATCACTTCTGTCATTTCAAAATGTAGTAAGCCAGCCCTGGAGACCTCCTGCTCATTCTGCAAAGTAGGGATCTACGCTTCCAGTTCATAATCCTGCCCAGACAGCAACACTGGAGACTTGTTCTGTTCTCAGCATTGCTAGTACTAATTTTGCTCTTTTATGCACTTGTCACTTTACTATAATTCAGCAAGGCAGTGCCTTTGTTCTTGTTTATTTTTGTGCCACACCCTTCCTCCATTGAGCTAAGGATGGTGTACTTGACTTTATTCTCACAACAATCCTGTAAGGTAGGTTATGCCCATATGTACGGCATAAACTAGAGTTAACTATAGATTTCAGTAGAATGTGCTTAACTCTTCTTTTGTAATCAATAGAACTTAAAAGCTCTTAATTCTGGCTAGGCAATCTTTTCTTGCTGCAGGGTGCAGGACAAGAAATCTCAGGAGGAAGGACTGTAGAACAGAGTTGTATTAAATCTAGAGTAGGGATGGGTGAATCTCATAAACCTCCTTTCTCTGTTTTCCATTTTGTCCAAACTTAAATTCAGTTCTCCACACCAGTTTGCGAATTCTTTTTTCAAAAGGTCCTCATGAAAATGCATTAGCATTTTAGTGCAGTTTTCTCCTATTGTACACACTTTTCTGTGAAATTTTGCCTAAAATACTGTACTCATTTCTGCAAATCAGTTTCCCCTGATATACCATAATATGTTTTATATGTTGTCTTCACTAATATATGTGTGTTTGTGCACACTTTATGCCAAATATATGCTTTCGTGTACACATTACTTGGTTGGAAAACTGCATTGCAAACTTTGGAGAAGTGCCGGTTTCAAAGGATGAGTGTGTCACTTCTCAAACTGTTTTAGGAAGTGTGAATTAGGTCAATTCACTTTTAATGGTGAACTGAACCAAATTTCCTCCCCATTCCTAATCTAGGGTTGTATTCAACCTAAAAGCTGGTATTTGTAGACAAACATATTGCTGCCCTACTTAATAGCATTTTTCAAACACTGGGGCATGATTTACAATATGGTTGCAAGATATAGTGATCACTACTCATATCTTCCCTATTTCCCACTTTATGCTTTTTTAAAGATAGAGGTAGCAGCTTTGAAATTACTTCCTCGTCGTATAATATCATGGTTCGATTTTCTGTTAGGACACCATTTATGCACCAGATAATTGTAATTTTTTCACTTGTTATTGAATAATGCCACATAGCAGTTTGAAATGTTCTGTCTCTTTCCAGAGTTATGCAGCTGTGCTTAAAACTCTGCTGGCCAACTCAGTATATAATATGTTTTGCTTCTGAAACGCTGCCATATTACCTCCATTAGCACAGTGGTTGGTTTGCAAACATCTGTTTGCTCTTATTTTGCCTATGCTTCTTCAGATCTGTTTCTACATGACGTAAATCAGTGGCATTTGACTGGGATGTGTGATTTGTTTGCTAAATAAAATGTTAAGAAATCGAGCGAAATAGCTACCCTGGAGCAATGACATGAATAGACACATACAGGGGGAAAGATGCTGATTGTGTGTGATGTCTTTCATGAGTTAAGATAGTCACGTGATTATCCATTTAGAAATAATTATTGGCCTCAGAAAACCCAGACCTAACCAGAGAAAGGATAAACAAAATCAAGGAAGTGGAATATTTATACATATATGTGTATGCATGCTTGGATGCAAAAGATTTTTGTTCATGGAATATCTTCTCACTGACAGAAGCTGCACTGCATAGTCATTGCCAGCTCTGCAGGATGGCTGGAAGTAAACCCAGTTGTGTTGGAGGTGATGCAGTGTTCCCAGACTAACTCCCAGCACACAGCAGACAGAATTTCGGGAGGAGCTTGCTGCAAACGTTGGCCAAGAGACAGAAGAAAGGATACACTGGTACCTTGGGTTACAGATGCTTCAGGTTACAGACACCGCTAACCCGGAAGTAGTACCTTGGGTTAAGAACTTTGCTTCAGGATGAGAACAGAAATCGCGTTGTGGTGGCGCAGCAGCAGCGGGAGGCCCCATTAGCTAAAGTGGTACCTCAGGTTAAGAACAGTTTTAGGTTAAGAACAGACCTCCGGAATGAATTAAGTTCTTAACCCGAAGTACAACTGTATTTTTGTGACCCAATGGACATCTGGTTAGGTAAAACATCTGGGATTCTATCGGGAGTTTTGATCCCTTAGTTACACATCTTTGCTGGGAGCAGTCTGTTAAGAGCTCGGATGGTTAAGAGATTCTAGGTGTCCGGGGGATGATGCCAAAACTATGGGTGTGTATATGAGAAAGTATATAGGCCCAATCAAAGTTATCCCTCTATTCACTTTAATGGGCCTCAGTTTTGTTCATTTTTTTAAAAATTCCCCATGCATAAACTATGCACACTGCAAGGTTCTAAATGGACGCAACTTGTTTTATATATCAACATTCTTACTGTTCCAATAACTAATGAAGGATGATAAACATAATTGTGTGCAGTTTCCTCTTACGTAACTGGCTACTTTTGCCGTTATGGAGGTCATTTATGTATGTTCAATTCTGCATGAAGTTCAATTTTTTTCTAGCACTTTGCACACACACACACACACACACACACACACACGCAATCTTAGCTGCTTGACCTTAATATAATATTAAATGTCTACCTCATATCTATCTATCTAATTGCAAAGGCTAAAAGAAAGTGAGTTATGTAAGCTAGAGATCGCTTTAATTGAAATGGAAAGCAAAAATTATGTGCTATGGGACATAACCATCATGAATGATAATAGTGGGCATCAACATGTGTCCTGCATTTCCAATAAATAGAGTCATATCTGCTGATAATTTTCCTGAGATTGACTAGGGTGATTTGCCATCTGGTCATTATTTTCAGAAACTTTTCTTTTAAGTTTGAATACAAGAGAACGGTGTTATTACGTTTCAATATCTATTCCCATTATACATATATCAAAGGTTTGCCAGTATTTTAACCATATAGTTTTGCTTACTCTGCCTTGCCTTCTGTGTCTTGGAGGCCATATAGACTTTTATATTAACTTCAAAAACAAAAAAAAACCCAACTTTTTTCCAGATTCTGTCAATTCCCTTGTTTAAAAGTAGAATTTTTCAATTAAGGGTCACATGCTTGGATCTTAAAATCAATTTCCTTACATTTCCTGCCCCCTTCTCCCACTGTGAAAACCCTTGAAACTGCCACCCCAAGGACATAGGGGGCTGCTGCTGAATAATGGGGCAGGGCGAGGGGCTGCTGGCCTAAAGAAAGAATGTCCCCAGAATTGATGTGGCTTATTTAGTCGCTCTCCACATCCCATCCCACATGGTTCAAGATAGCCCCTCCCAGTCTTGGAGGGACACAGGTAACCTGGTGGTGGTGGAGAAACTTTCCTTCTGTAAACTTCCTTAGGTTATCTTAGTTTTCATTTTCAACCCAAAGTAGCGTATCCTCCTGCATGCATGCTTAATCAAAACTCAGAAAATCGAGCTGTACTTAACAATATCTATATACTGATATTGATTAGTTTTCCATTTAAATTTTCCAAATAGTGCTCACTGTTTTTACATTCCAGAAGCAACTGAAGAGAGAGTGTTGACAGATCTGTTGCAGTGAATTTGGGGAATGGCAAGATGTGGGAGGTATCTTCATTGTATGAATTAAGAACAAGTGTTTGAATTGTCCTTTATTTCAGCCCATAAATTATGGCATGATTCACATAGTAGTCACTCTAGTTTGATGGTTACGTAATCCCCTTTGGAAAAATCCAAGAATTTATTCTTGATCTGTGTTACCATCTGTCTATAGTTATTTTTACTTCTAGCTTTAAACTATAAAACAGGAGAGTATTAATTTAGATTCATGGATGACTTGTTTTTTGCATCAAATAAAATAATACATTTAGAGCGATAATAGAAATGTTCAGAGGAAATAATATTAGCAATAACTGTGCATCTATTGAAAAATAATAATGATAAACATTCGTACATGGCATGCTGATCCTAAAATCCTGGCAAGGCTGAGATGGGAGTTTGTAAGTAGTTCTGTAACTCATCTCAACAGGAGAATTAAAACAGAATTTAGGAAGTCAGCTGCATAACTGTAGCACAAGGTCATCCTGGAGTAAGTAATGGGTCCAGGTCAAAACTGAGGAGTAAGCCTGAAGAAAACTGGAAATTGGAAGCCGTAGGCAGACAAGGAAGTTGGAAGATTGGGAAGGAAGCAGGTGGCAAGAAGAGCCATGGGTGGGTGGGAAGGTTAACAAAAAGAGACTTTTCAACTTCCAGGATATGCTTTAGTCCAGGCAAAATGCCAGCTATAACCTGGAAGCACTTATAACCAGGCTAATCATTAAGAACCAAACAGCCACCAATGAGCCATGTTTGCGGCCTAGAAAGAATTCCCCCTTTTCTCTCTTGACTTTATACTTCATTCACTCTTGATATAAAGTGTGTTAATACCAAACAGAGACTAGGAAGCACCTGATTCAAACCCTAATGCTGATAATAAAATGAACTAGTCAAATATAATTTGGTTGAAAGGTATGAGTATGAAAATGCATCCATGAATAGTTTGTGCAATGCAAGACACAGCCATGCAAAAACACATATCCACCCTAAAATATAACTTTAAACAAGGAGGGGAATGGAGAAGTATTGTCTGCTGCCTATGTCTGGAATGTTCGAGATGATGGCTGCGTGACAATAAAACAATGAATAAAATTTGTTTTGGGGCTTAGGATACAGCACTGACTTGATACAATCAACAAATCTATACTTGACATGTGCCCTGTGGTCCTGCCACAGCACTGAGTCATTAATTACTGTGGTTTGTGTGGATCAATGTCCATTCTTTGCAGGGTATCCATTATATGTACTTGCTTTAGGGACCAATGTTGTGGTCCTGTATGATTCAGGATAAAAATTAGTCAGTGAACCAAGATCAGGGTAGGTTGGGGGGGGGGAGACAAAAAATAGCAGCACAGAACCAAGAAAAAAGGAAATGGGATTGATTTGATTTTTTTTTTATACTTTCCATTACCTCACATTTGTGAGTCAGTATTTCTGAGGTCAGTCAGTAACTTTAGAAGTTGAGTTAGAGCAAACTTTGTGAAGAGGTTTTCTCTTTCTTTGTTAAGACAGTTGCAAAGTTCCATTGTATGTGAACTTTCTTTTTGTCCTTCAGAAACAAACCCGCACAAGATCAAATCTGAGAAGTTGATTTGTTACGTCAGGTGCTTTCAGACTTTCAGCCTTCATGGGACTTATCCCACATTGATTTGTCTGCCAATGAACTCCGGTCAGTTCATGTGGAAAGTTGGCCAGCTTGTCCTGAAAATGTACTGTGGGATATACTTGACACTTCCCCAAAGTTGCTGAATGGCGGTGATGTGCAAACTATTCGCCAGGGAAACTGTAGTTACTGATTTTCTTTTTGGGTTACTCTTATAAGTTTATCTGGACTTCTCAGAGCACAGCCATCCCCAGAAGACCTCCTATGCAATCTTCAGGATGGGCTTGACCTTCCAGAGAGGCTTTTCAGGGGGCTGAAGTGGGGAGAAGGGGGTGGGAAACTTTTCTTCTGCAAACATCCCTAACATAACCTATCTCAGGATCCAAGCCTATGTATTCGGTAGTGGGCATCCTTGCACACAGTAATGCATGTGGCTGACACTGACATGACAATCCTGAAAAAGGGTTCATATAAGCACGTTTGGGCTGGCAATTCCATGTATTTGTAATGTAAACAAGCTTTTTCAGTTGGCATGAAATGAGCATTGACATCAATCATACACGTCCTAGTCATTTTTCTCTTCTGGCCTGGAAGAGAAATGCCACATGGAGCTCTTCCTGTTGCACCCACCTACGTCAGGTGCACTAAGCAGGTAAGCCTGCCGTTGAAGAGTAGACACATGCCTAGGAATGCCAGGATTGTTAAAGTAACTAGTGGGACAGGAAGGAGATGAACTAGGTGGCTCAAATATTAAGCTAATAAGAACAGATTAATTAACATAGGTGTTTTCACCTTCAGACTATGAGCTCTGTTGGCTAGAGTATGGTGCTGATAACGCCAAGGTTGCAGGTTCAGTCCCCATATGGGACAGCTGCATATTCCTGCATTGCAGGGGGCTGGACTAGATGATCCTCTGGATCCCTTCCAACTCTGTAATTCTATGATTCTATCATTTTAGCCATCTAAATGTCTGAGGAAGACCCTGGTTGACCGCAAGGGCATATAACAGAACTCTCTGGCTTTGCTAATAAGCACAAAAGTCAACATTCTATTGACAGGATTCTTTGCTAAAATATCTTGGTACTGCTCTGTTACTGCTTTTCATTCATAGTGCTATTGCTACAGAGTGATAACCAATGTGTGCCACGTTTTCCACATTTGAAGTTTGAATAATATAGTACGTCAGATATTGCTATGTTGTAACTGCTGGCAAATACCCACTTTTTAATGCCAAGCAGCTCTTTAGATCTCTGTTGACTTGGTTGATGTAGGTTCTTTCATGACTTTCTACAATATCAAGCTCATTCCTATAAAAAATGAAAGTTTAATTAAAGCCCTGCATCTAAAATTATTTTGTAAAGATTAAATCAGACCGTAATTCGTAAATGACAGTAATTACAGAGAGCTGCAGTTCCATATGTCTGTTCAAAGCCATCTTTTAACAAGTTGCCTGGAGACTTTTTTTTAGTACTTGGGCGAGCTAAAGACCCAAATAAGTTTGGAAGAAGATATTTTACCAAGTATGATTTAGTAATATTCCTATATCGGAACCATATCTATAATTCATAATGTTTATATTTAAGACAGATATAAAATAAAGCAGGTTAATTCAAAACAGCACCACAAAAATCTTGTCCATCAACCATGGGTGGCAGATAAAGCTATATTTTAGTTGATCACAATGCTGTTAGTTTTTGTAAATATCTTTGCTGGAGTATTTGTTTCTGTGAATTAGCAAATTAAGTGCCGTGTGTTTATACTGTTCTTAGATTTTTGTAAGCTTCATTGAAGCCCCCTTGGGGCTGAAAGTGCAAGGCATTGGGTATTGTAACAAAGTAAAATGAATAATGTAAGCCCTTTTCCACATAACTGGAAATTATGTACAGTGAATAGATGCGGTTGCAGTGAGAGTGTATCTGGTGCCAGCCTACACACATGTATGACTTGATGCTCCCTGCTTTTCTCTGCACCCTAGGTTGCAAATATAGAGCACAGATTCTGTACAAAACAGAACCAATGAATGCATCGGGGTTAGGGGAGCAGGGACAGTTGGTTTGATCCTGCTTCTTTGTACATAATTTTCAAACACATAAAGTGATCATGATAAATGAAGTTCTTCTGGGACAGTGAAGAAAAGACAGAAAGATATGAGCCTCTCTCTGCCCCGAGCAATCAGTGGGGAAGAGCGTGAAGGAGAAAGCAGAGGTATAGATTTGTATTTTAAGTTTCAAAGCCACATTATTAAACCAAAGCTATGAGCAGATACAATATGAATATAGGTTATACGGTGGAAATATATGAAGTTGTATTATTCATCAGGGTCCTGAACGCACATGCAACTTTGATGTAATCAAAGAGTGAACGAAAGTTCATCATTAAACAATCTGCCTTTGACGTTTGGCCAGGATTCAAAGAGTACCCCAGTGACAGGCTGTCTCTCTCTCTTTGTATGTGTGCAATCACAGTTTCTACTATGGAATTGTGATGTCATTCTGTTTAAGGATGCCAAAAGTAGTGGGGAAAGGGCCTGGAATACTTTAGGGATGATATGTATGGGAGTTTTCCTCCCCTATATACAAACTTTCTGAATTTTCACTCTAAATGTTTTGATAGCATTAAAAGCTTGTGTCCCTCCTGTTACTCATCACAGTTTGCTAAGCAGCATGTTCGTGCCAGGTTTGCAATGGAATATGGTAAAGTTATATCATTTTAGGCTGTACATTTTTGGAAGTTTTCCAGGAGATCAGTTTTCTTGCATGGGTTGAATACTTTTTCGGGGCAATCAGAACTTGGGCTAGTTTCAAAGGTTGAGATA